CTTTAACCATATTTTTAACCATATTTCAAGACAATATACAATTATGAAAAATACATATACTTAAGTTGATCAAAAAAACACTCTTTAAATCAACTAATTGTTTTTTTTACATAAATTGAAACTACAATACATTTCCATTTATTTGTAAATAACATGCCTTTGAGTGTCTGAAAAAATTACATTCAGTTTCACTTAAGTATAATCTTCAAGTGTTTTTTTTCTATGATAACTAGTCTTAAATGTAAGCTAAAGTGTACTTCTTTTTTTAACAACATCTCTTTGAGTCTAATGTGTCCAGTATCATCATTGCGAACAACTTTTTTTGCAACTTTTTGGTGACCAATCTATCACACCTAAACTTCAAAGAGTTAAAACGATCAAATAAACCCTTTTAGGTGCTTATTGCTCTGTTAACTAACTTGGTCTCACTGCTCATTGTGCTCAAATAGACCCTTTTGTTTTTCTCATCTCCAGAGATGCCCTCTCTTCAGTCCGGTTGTCATGGTCACTGTCTTATTGTTGTGGCAGCTATTTGTGTCTCATGTTGTGTTCAAAGTGATTTGCAATTATTCCACCTTTCAGTGGGTTATTATAGCTCTGAATATTGAGCACAAAATGCATAGCATTCCTTGAAATATACAAGGCACACAGTTTTTTTGTTTTTTTTTTGCACGAGTAAAACAACTGTTTAAAACTGTCAAAAAAAAATGTAGTCATAGAAAAGTTAGTCAAAAACGGATTGTCATCTTGTAACTGATTATTGATTTGACCCTGGCCAAATATTATACTGGTTTCAAGGTGTTCCACTAATAATTTACTTTGTAGGACAGTTCTAAATATAGAGCATTGATTAACTCCTCAAAATATTAACATGTCTTGATGTATTGATTGCTAGTGAGCATCTCATTAATGAAGTGACATTTGGGAAACGGAGGTCTGATATATGCTAACTAGGCACTACTAGTCAAAACTGAAGCTTAAACCTATGTATGGTCAGGTGACTAGAAAAAAATGTGTATGTATTTCTCTAGATATGGGCAAAGTATAAACGGAACGTACATCAAATATATTAACTAAATTTTCCATCGGGTTGCCATATAATAACTGTCTGTATACCTTGTATAATTAATAATATTATTATTTTTATTACAAACATACACTAACTTTTAAAAGTTTGGGGTCAATAAATAAAAAAATAAAAAAATTAGGGCTGTCACGATTCCTTGATTAAATTCGACTACTGTCGTGTTAAGTAAACCTCGGCCCCACTCAAAGTCATAAACGACATCATATCTGCCACGGACCACAAATATTTCTGTGCAGCAATTTTTATAGACCTGGCCAAGGCTTTTAACTCTGTCAACCACACCATCCTTATTGGTAGGCTAAGAAGTATAGGTCTCTCAAATCACTGCCTATGGTTCACTAATTATTTTACAGACAGATTTCTTTTAAATCAGAGGGCTTGCTATATCTAGCCCACTAGCTGTCTCGACGGGGGTGCCGCAAGGTTCAATTCTCGGCCCGATATTATTTTCAGTCTACATCAATGATGTGGCAATGGCCGCAGGTGACTCTTCGATACATCTATATGCAGACGATACTATTCTTTCTGTATATACTTTCTATACTATACTTCTATACTATCCTTTACACTTACGGCCCATCTATGAGTACCGTGTTAGACAGCCTCCAAGTGAGTTTTAACAGCAAACAACATTCATTCCGTGGTCTTCAACTAAACTTAAATTCCAGCAAAACCAAATGTATGATCTTTAACCAATCATCCTTTTCATCCTCCTATACAACAAAAATGTCCACTCTGGATGATTTTGCACTGGAAACCGTTGACATCTAAAATAAAATCAAGCATTGGTTTTCTCTTTCGCAACTGGGCCTCCTTCACCATATCCGCTAAACACACTAGTATTCACAGTGTATTCACAAAGTATTCACAGTGAATGTTCCATAAACTACTGTTGAACATAAATATAAACATAAATACATAATACTGAATAAGATGAATAGCATGTTTTGTTTTCACATGCTTTACACAATTAAGACATTCAGAAACATCCTTACAGCCTAGAAACGCCTGCAGGCTAAGTCTGTCTAGCCCACATGAGCAATAAAGCAATCACTGCATCAACCCTGTACCTTCTAAACACAACTTTATTTCCAGATGGACTAGTGCACCCCGAATGTCAGAAATTGCATAGAAGAATCGGATTGACTTGCCTGTTTTGCGATTATGCATCAGGCTGTCAGTGGATGTACTGTGGGCAGTCCGACTAAGGTTAGGGATTTGATGGATAGGATGTTGATCCCAACAACGTGTCTGTCTTGTGTAAATCACATTGGGCTCCTATGGACAGTGTGGTGAAGAGTGATTAAATATCTGCAATCTCTTTCTAGGTCTGTTTTGAAAAATCTAATCATCATAAAACATCTGAAGCTGAAAAATCCTGCAGCTGCTTCAGAACAGACTGTATCTGTATAGGTTTAAAATGAAAGTTGGATGCAAAATTCACTTTTATATGGTGTTGCATATAAATGTGTATTTGCGGTGTGAAAAGAGACGGGCGTATATTTGGGACTCGGCTATTATTTGAAGTTTTACGGTGTTACAAAATGTGCATCTGATGACCCCTTTAAGAATCCAATAAACTTTCATTCAGTTGCATGACCTCTGCTTCAAATTCATGACAAAGAATTGTCTTGTCCACGGCTTCACCGTTGGCCTCCTCGACAATATACACTAACTCACAATAACTCTTGGTCTTGACCGCTTAGCCTTTCAAATTAGAAGCAGCTGTAAGATGAATGCAGTAAGATTCGGCTAATTACAATGTGAACTTCACTTTATTTGCATATGATAATACAATTGTCTGAAGCTGAAGTAATGGCTCAATTAAAACAAGACAGATAAGACCTCAGCTTCTCGACAAGTTTAACTAATCACAGTTATCGGATTATTGCAGGTTAGCAACGTGCCCAAATTGTTATTGAACCTGGAATTGCTGTGGTCGATGTCGTTGTCAAAATGCTTTTTTTTGAGTCAGCATTTTGGGCTCTTTACATTGGAGGCTTAAATCATCAGTGTAAGGATTACACAGTAATCCTGTGTTGGTAAATACCCAGCCTGATATACAGAACGTTATGAATAACTCGCTCAGCAAAACTGCTTTTTTTTAAGAACTGAGGTTTTTACTAGGATTTCTGTGTTTTATAGGAAGTAAAATATGAATAAAGATTCTCAATTTGTTTGATTTTGTTCATCTTTTTCAGCATGGACTGAACACAAAACTAATATATAATATATTTACATACAGGTTAAATGCATCGACAAAGTATTTATCCTTTTTTTCTCCCATTATATCAGGTTTAAAGGAATAGTTCAGTTAAAAATTAATATTCTATCGTCATTTACACACCCTCAAGTTGTTTCAAAAATGTATTTCTTCTGCTGAACACAAAGGAATATATTTTGAAAAAATGTCTAACCAGACAGTTTATGGACCCCATTGACTTCCATAGTATGAAAAAAAAATACTATGTAAGTCAATAGGGTCCATAAAATGGTTTGGTTACCGAATAGCTTCTTTAATATCTTTTAAGAAGATATCTTCTTTTAGCAGAAGAAAGAAATGCACAGGTTTAAAACGACTTGAGGGTGAGGAAATGATGACAGCATTTTCATTTTTAAGTGAACTATTCCTTTAAGGTAGTGCAAATGATCTTGTTACATATGCTAAAATATATAGTTTCTCCAAAATGCATTTCCAGTAAGATTGTAATGGCGATAAAATGCAAAGCTGATGGAATCTGCTGAACATTTGCCGTTAAGGCTGGATTTGATATGCTGTACTACTCTTTAATGCTGCTTATTTATCTCTTCATTTTCTATTTCCACAAACACCCGGTTTATACTGGCACAATTTAAAACAACTTTCCTAGATGATCACAGATGTTGTAAACCTTCTATGCCTCACATTTAGAAAATGCATCTTTTAAACTGCTTATCTGCTGTAGAAAGTGTTATACGTATAAGCCTGCTATTATGTTGACGTCTTTCCTATAGTGAGCTAATGATATTTTTTTTTCCTTACCCCAAGACGTAACCCTTGCACAAATCTTTTTTTGTATTTTAAGATTTTTTATGAGTGCATTATTTACTGTGTATTAAGCCGTTTCCTCGTGGGGGTCATCATGGTCACCAAGTGTGATTTAACTATCCTTGTGGGGATATTTTGGTCCACAATGAAGGAAAAACGTGACATTTCACAACCTCCACATGCAAGAATGTATTTTCTTCATCAGGGTTGTTTTCACAAAGCCATTTTCTCAAACGCACAAGCTTAATGAGCTTTCCTGCTGTTGCCTGACAGACTACAGAGGTTTTATTCATTTTCAGCCGGCTAAAGCCATTCCTGTGAAATAAACGGGAATTCAAGATTATTTAATGCCACCTCTGTCTCTTTCTTCTTCTTCTTATATGGTAAATTGGAGTGGAAGATCAGTTATCTTAACAACAAAAAAGAGTTTCTATGTTTCACAATGAAGAAAAATGTAACATTACACTCTCATGTAATTTCCAGGATATGGCTCTGTTGCTTCAGTAAACCCACCTGACACTTTATTAACCTTGGGATGAGAAACTGATCTCCCCTTTAGTGGAAAGTACTGTGGTTGAGCTTTTCATAGCCCAAATGCAGACTGTTTTATCTCGGCGAGCAAAGATTGGGATAGAATTGAGTTCGGATGAACTCCTCTGAGGGTAAAAAAAGGGGAAGGATGTCTAAAATGTTACATATTTTACTTTAAAATGACGTCACGGGTTTGTGAGCTAAAGCAGGACTGGCAGGTTGTTAGTCAGACGGAGGAGGAAAGGAGAGAGAGAGAGAGAGAGAGAGAGAGAGAGAGAGAGAGAGAGAGAGAGAGAGAGAGAGAGAGAGAGAGAGAGAGAGAGAGAGGGTGGATAGCGCGCGCAGTGGTGATAACACTATCTGTCTATCTACCAAATGACGAGCGTTGCTTTCACGCGCTCTACTCATCACGCGCGTCCGTGAAGTGGTGTTTCATTCCTCATTCTTGTTCCCCCCCACCCCCCGCATCCCAATTTATTTGGACTCTAGGAAGATTGCGCGAACTATCGAAGATCTTCTACAGCCGATGCATGACATGCTTTTGCGCCACGGAAATCTCAATGTTTATCTTGCGTTTTTTTGCCTGCGCTCGGTCTCATAATGACAATGTAGAAAAAGTGCGCGGTGACCGCGAGCGCAGCGCACGGGCGATGTTGACGCCGTCACCTTGCCGCCTGGTTCCCATCGCTTCTTGACTTTTTTTTATCCAGTGGAGTATAATCTAGATGAACTTGCGAATGTAAAAGAAGGCTGTTGAGAAGCAACTGAAGCGTCCAGCTGCCCACGCTGTCGCTGGGTCGCTCTGCACGTCCGTGCGCACTTCTGAGGAGAAAACAGCGATCAACTAAAAAAGGGGACAAGACGCGTCCTTTTTTGTGTGTGTGTGTGAATATTTCACACAGTCCTCGTTTGGTGCGCTTTGGAGAGACGTGGAGCTATTTCAACCTTTCTGTTTCTCGGATATAACATTAGAATGCTTGCATCTATAACATTTGGAGTAAGGTGTCTAACTTAATGTGACCATTACGCTTGAGCGTCGACGTTTGTTGGAACGCATAAATGGACGAATACCAGAAGGACTGATTGGGAATTGTCTAGAAAAATGTGGCTGAAACGGTGTGTCACACGCAGGTAATAAATATCCCTTTTGAGATCTCTCAGCCAAAGGCATTAACGCATTAAACGCCCATTGCCAAAATCCTGTCGGCTGTGAAGAGTTTTGTGGCAAGTTGATGCGCGTCATGCTGTTTCCACTTAACTTGTTTTTAATGTGATGTCTTACTTAAACCTCACAGCTTTGCTTTGATATTATTCCTTTGGATACCTTTTAAGTGATGCTGGTTTTTGTGAATAACTAGAGGGCTCGTAATTAACAAGATTGCGAATCGAGTTGAAGTTATCCACGCAGCTCTCGCTAGGGGCCGCCAAATAACCGCCATTCAATACCAGACTTGACGCGCGCAATTAGGTCGAGTATCAGCTAAACACACCCTCACATACCACAGTATACCGTGCCAGAACAACATTTCCTGTGTGGTCAAGACATTTATGCCATTTAATGAATCACATCTCTCACTGTATGTGTGACATTTTGATCATAGGGTTCAAATGGTGTGCAATTTGCCAGTGAAAAAGTCAAGCTGAGTCAGAATCATAAGAGCTGTAATGGCCATGGATTTATTTATGGTTAACAGGAGTTCTTAGAACTTATTGGCAAGAGTATAATTAAATCAGACATGCAAGCATGATGCAACGCATCTTTATTATACATTCTGCATGGACAAAAAGTCAGCCAAATGTTAAGTAATACACTATGCTTGTGAATTACAGCAGCCCATGCATATAAGAGCCACAGAAAGGAAGCACTTTTCATTGAAATGTTCATTACTCCAGTCTAAATGGTTTCCTAGCACTTGGGATCCCCATTCCAAAGATGATGAAAACGGCACAGTTTAAAGTTCGGATATTCAAAGTGGCAGAATTTGACAGCTGTCCTTGCCATTACATCTGTTTAGCAGCTGTTCCAGAGGCATGTGGAGAGCATGTTTAAGGTGGGAATGATGATAGAGCCAGGTGAGCATCATTGTTCATTCACTACCTGATGAATGCTACATCTTGCATTCACTGGTTCTCCAGAAGGTGCACCCTTACTACAGTGACATACAAGAAAGTGTATATTTTACATAATATTTCTGTTTAGATGTGTCCTTACTTTGTATAGCAATGTCATACTGCCCAGACTGGTCTTCCAACACAAATCCAGAAAGCTTAGTTGGGCTTACTCAAACATTTGTGCAAATTCGTTAATGTTCAGAGACAGAAAGTGTACAGACACTCAAAGATCTTGGTTTTTAGTGGCTTTTCTCTGGGCTTCGTTGATTTAAAGGATCAATAATTATTAATAGTTCAGTATGGTACGACAATAGCAAATAAGAAAGTTTTGAGTTTATCATTGTGTTACATATGGAGAAAATTAGGTATAAAATTGCCGGTAAACCATGGGATTTTTTTTTTTTTGTTCTGGGTGATCTTCAGCTTAAAAAAACAATGAAATACAACAACTGTAGCCTCCCCATGCATTATATAAATCCACATCTTTTTTTTTTATTCATTTCTACAATACACAATGGCAAAATTAAGGCATTCTTTGTTGCTCAAGGTCTGAGGTTGATCAGCTGCCAAAGTTATGAGACAGCGGGGAATCTCTCTTTTGCGGTTTATAAAATTCCCAACTATCACGAGTAAGCTTAACAGCCTTGATGAAGATTATTAGCTGCATCTCTTAATTGCTCCATCGACTGCTTTAATATTTTCACATCAAGGTTATGCATCCTCACGGTTCTGGATTTCTATCGAGAGCTTTGATTCTCCAGTGCACCTTGAGGAATTATGCTGATGTTCTCATATTCAGACAACCTGGCGAATGGCTCCTCGTATGCAACAGAATGGGTATGTATCTCTGTGTTCAGTTAACTGACCTGGAAGCCATTAGGGGAGTAAAAAGTGACGTGGGGATGTGGGGAATATCAGCCCGTGTACTGACCTGAGCAGCAGCTGGTTCATTACGGGCTCTGTCACTGGAAAGGATTAGCTTGGTTTTTTTTGTTTTTTTTTTTTTTTGCTTTGACACGAGCCGGTGGATAAATCTGTTTTTTATTTATTTTTTTTATGTTTTAACGACTCAATTTGATCATATTTTTACATTTTATTCTTCTCCCTGTCAGACGGGGTTCTTTAAGTACTCGCTGTATACCCGTCAATGTCTTATATGGCAGCACACAACTATTGCATTACCATGTACACTGTAGCGTGTAATAGCATGCCACTTCTGTATTTTTTTTTTTCTTCCCGGATGTAAGCTCACTCACTTGCTCGCACAGAGTAATGCACACCTGTTTAGTGCGAGGGCTCGGAGTGCTTCTGCTCTTCATTTGACGCTCTTGATGGTTTGATATAATGGCAGGACGATTTGATTGCGCCCACCCCCGCTTAAACTGTTATGTAACTACGTCTTCAATGGTTCAATAAGCCAGAAACGACTCTACATACCGCAACTAATGGCGCAAAAGTCAGTAAAGCTGGAGTTATCTTAATCAGGAGAGTTTTTAAAGGCCAGGAAAATTTGAGTCTGAAAAAGTCTACGTTTTTTACTCAGGAATAGTCACTCAAGGTTTTATGACTACTTCAAAGGCATAAATAAAATTGAGACACCGAGCTCAACACATTCTGGTTATGTAACTTTTGCCATTTCACAAGGGAAATTGCCTGCATTAGCATATGCACATTCAGAGAGTTTCTTCAAAGCCTTGATCGGAGTCAAGCAAAATATAATATAGCATCCTGTCAGATTGAACACATAAGTTATAAAGCAGAGGCAATTATCATACAGACTCTCGAGACGTGCACTAAAAGTAAAGGTTATTTATTGACTTCTGTAATTCCATTAAAGTTACACTCTGTAACTCTTTTAGTTTATTCTTGGCTAAAAACACTTAGTTGTTTCAAAAATATATGTGCTCATTAATGTATATTTACTTCGTTCAAGTAATAAAGTATTCTCATAAGTGTATAATATGCCATTGAAAATATGCCCCTCCATCTTGAATGTACATTAGCCAAAGAGGGACATACCCATTAATTCAAGCTTCGCCTTTCGCGTTTACGTTTGAGTTGACACTCATGGACGAGGTCGAACTGGAAGCCATGTTAATCTTGGACTACATTGGCCACCATATGAGTTAAAACGAAATCGGAATTGAGAGGAACAGAAACTAATATTAACTGGATGGTCATATACCTTTTCACCGCTAGATGGGGGTAAAAATCACACAGTGTAGCTTAAAGAAACTTTAACATCTATGGATCATTTCCATTGTACAAAAGGTTCTTTCTAGTGGGAAAAAAGTTGATTTAAAAGTTCTTTAAAAAATAAAATGGTTCTTTCTGTTCATTGACAGGTTTTTTGGGTAATGGAAAATGAAAATGTTGTCCCTTTGTTTGGGAACCTTTATTTTTCAGAGTTCAGTGTTGAGTCACCATGGCAGCCGAGTGCCCTGTACCCTTCACCACGGCCTGTCTAACCCCCCCCCCACACACACACACGTTTCATGTAGTGCCTTTGTTCAATCAATATCGCCTCTATTAAAGCCTCACATTTATCCGTCATGACACAAGACCAGCAGTGGCTAGCTAGCCCTCCAGGGCCATTTCTCTCTCCCTCTCCTTCTTTTTCCACACACAATCTTGAAAATGAACAGTAAACACTTTTATATGAGGTTAAAAGGACTCTGAGGATTTACCCAGGATGTCTAGGTTCGGCATAAGAACAAGAAATGAAACTTTTAGTAAAGCAGAATTGAATGTTTTTTTAAGCTTGAATGTATGTGCACATGTATTATTGAGTCTGTGGGTCGTGTTCACAGTTATGCTGAGGGATTTTAGTAATGAGTCTGTAAATGCCTCTGGCTGTTCTAGCTCTTTTATCTGCAAACTTTTAGTTTGGAAGATCCCTGCAGTACAAATGCAATGCAGATCTTTTCATCCGTAATAACAGCTGATCCTCTCCTCCAAGCCATGTTCTGTATTAGACACAGACAGAGAGTTAGGTTGTGTGTGTGCCTGCACATTTTTGTTGTTTACTGTGTTAAAGAGCCACTTGACTGTGCTTACTTGACCTACTATAACGTACACACACACACATATAAGTCATCCAGCATTGGACACAGTCTGTTAACGCCCATTAAGAAAAGGATAGCAAGTGGGTTCTTATTTACTTTCGAGGTAATTTAAACCAGTTTACGTTGGCTCAATGTCAATGGAACAGAATGTCTTTACTGGATTATTTGTGGGGGCATCAACGTTCATTTTCACCGGAACATCTGTTTAACAATCCGTGAAATTACGTCTGAAAAATATCTATTCCTTACCGTTAAATAAAAAAAAATGTGTGTAGATGCTGAAGAGATTCTCATACCTTTCACAAATAAGTTTTTTTTTTTTTGTGCCATTCAGTGTAATTATTGGATTAAAATTTTGATCATTCTTCAGGTTGCCGTTTGGCGTTCACTGTAGTATTTGTTGGATCTGATCTGAGCATTGTCTTGGCATTTTGGATTTAATGGGAGTAAACAGAATGTAGAAATATGACATTTCACGATTCAGCCAAACAGTTGTCCTGGGGGAGATGCTAGTGGCATCAGTCCATTATTCATCCACTCAAGAGGAAAGAAAACCATTACATATATTACAATCAAATTATGTCATAATTTTCCACTAATCTGTTCTTGTGAATCTGCTAGTAGCAGAGGTGGCAGCTAGCTGTAATGGCTCACAGACTTCTATTCATTCATTATTCATCACTGGCCCTTGCTTGAATAATGTTTAATCTACTCACACTGAGTTTTTCAGTTTCACAGGTCACAGTTTTTTTTTTTTTTGTTTTTTTACAATACCATTTTCAAACGTTTAACAGTTGTTTAATAATTATTTTATATGTGATTTATTTTATCATGCATTAGAACTGTATTCTAATGTTAAGTATAAGCAAATTCATCTCTTCAGTTTCGTGTCAATATATGGATTCCAACAAGCAGCGTCCTTTTTGTGTTATTACAACCGCTATCTGTGATGCA